CCTAAGTACGTGTCCTACATGCACACTATATATGTCACAATGCTGAAGAAAAGATCTGTTGCTATTTCCATTTCATCGTGACTTTAAAGGCCAGTTCACATCAATGATTAAAACTGTAACTATAAAGTTTTAATAATCTCTCTAATTCTATGAGAATAGTGAAGTCCACACCACAGATATAAGGAGAAGGCACTGAGAAGCAAAATCAACTGAATCACTTTTTTTCTTCCAGTTGATGGAAAAAAAAAAACAAAACAAAAAAAAATAGCCAATTATAATCCACCTGAATTCATAAAGCTTGAGCATAAAGCATTTAAAGTTGTTTACAATAGTAATTTCTTCACTATTTTGTTAAGTATATATCTGACTGCGACCATTTTTTGAGAATGTGCGAGTTAAAATTTTATGTGGTCGCCTATGTGCGATTGGACGCTCGCGCAACAGAACAGCGTTGTATCAGCTGCTGCAGTCCGTAACTTATGCTTAAAATGAACGAGTAGGCTACATCATGAATCCATTTTCCAAACTGTGTTTTTGACTATTTTATCCTGGGGTCGACTCCGATATGGAGTTTCCCAGTTCCTGCATGACATTAATGGAGAGAAGTAGCTCCGGCAACAGTGTTCTTCCGCAAGACAAATGCCGTTTTTTTTAATTGACGAAAGTAGACGCCACGCGCTTTGCACACTGATGGTGGAACAGTGATTTATTACAACTATACAATTTGATAAAGAAAAATCTGTATTAGTTTATTATAATATCCTAATCTTTTAAAATGTAATGCATACTGTACATTTGAATGTTCAATGATTTTTAAAAGATAGAAAGATGATTCTGATAGAAAGATGATAATGGATAGATGGATAGATGGATGGATGGATAGATAGATAGAATGGTGTGAATGGGGCCTTTACTCAGAACATCTAGCAACCATCCAGGAGACCTTAGCAACTGCGTAGGAACGCCCCGGAAACTACCTACAGCAACTTTGCACCACTCCTATATGCCTCAGAAAATGTAAGAATATTTTAGTTTTGTAAGAGTTTTTAAATGGAAGTTTCAACCTTATTTGCTACTTCGTATCATAATAAACCTTGAAAAGCTACAAGTGGGATGAAACAAGCCAGGAAGTAAATGAACCAACTGGATTAGCTGATCATCCAATCGTAGACAGACTTGTACTCTAAGCTTTAGTATCGGACATTTCTATATGTAGTCTTTTATAGCAGGAGGGTTTTTCAAAGGGAATACTGCTCCACCGAGGTTTGCTGCTCAAAGCTGGGCTTATCTGCTCCCAGGTGTTGACCTGCACTGTTTGAGGTCCACAGGTCTTCTCTGTATGTAGGCAGGGGTTAACGAGACAGGGTTTTACACCAGCTCAGCTCATGCAAGTCTAACTCCTACGCACAGCCACAGGCAACAGACACACACACACACACACACACACACAGTCTCACGCTGAGAGGGAAAACTCTCACCTCACCAAAGTGTCCATGCAGACAGACTTTTCCGTCTGCAGAGCTGTGAGTCACAGACATGAGGTAGAAAGAAAGAGCAAGTGTGTCTGTGTGTGTGCGCCTTCCTACAAACAGAGCTTGAAAGATGCCGTTTCTGTGTGACTTTTGAGTTGGTGGTGTTCAATAATTTCTTTATATTTACATTATTTGATATAATACTTTATTTTCTTTTTCACTATTAACTACAAAGGAATTCAATGTAACATTAAAGGGGTGGTATAATGCCCCTTTCTGCAAGATTTAAAATAAGTCTTTGATGTCCCCAGAGTGTGTATGTGCAGTTTTAGCTCAAAACACCCCACAGATAATTTTTTATAGCATGTTAAAATGGTCCTCTTTCGAGGGTGAGGAAAAACGTGTCATTTTGTGTGTGTCCCTTTACATGCAAATGAGCTGCTGCCCCCGGCACAGAGGGCGGAGTTTCAACTGCTCATGTGTTAGCAAATCCTTTAACCACTTCTCTAGAAGGACTCAGGGTTTATGTAAATTTCTGGGTTAGTGATATCACTAACCCGATAGGAAGCTTGTGTAGTTCCTTTCAGAACTAAAGTTTTAACTAAAGTAAAAAAAGTGAAATTATCATCAACCATTTTTGTACATGTATTATGGTTTTAGCATGTTTTGTTTAATCACTGCGTACTGTGGAATACAACACATTTCTGTGGTATTAACAATTGTTACATCACTGTACCATAGGATCTGGAATTTCTCTGAAGTACATTTAGAGTACTATGTAAATACCATGGTATGTATATATAGTACATATTGAGTTCATATCTAAAAATTTCATAGTAATACTTTGCTAAATAATTATTTTAAGTAACTTGGAGTACCATGTAAATACCATTGTACTCTATTTGAATAGTGTATAGAACGATGATTTAAGTAGCCTATTATTGCATTACCATATGTTACTCATTATGAAATGATGGTATTGTTTGGTACCTTTGGAAATTCATGTAAATACCATGGTACAACCATCAGTCACTACAGTATTTTTGTAAGGTGTCATTATATAATCATATATAATTTAATGATATATTTTTAATATTTACATAATATATTTTCAGAGATTATTTTTACAGTACAAATAAAAAAAATTGCAGACGCCATTTTAAACCAAGAAGCCTTTGTCAATCGGTTGCAAAGTGACAGTTGATGTAATTATTGAATCAGTGACTGGTTCTCCTATTATGGCCACTTACTTGCTTTTCAGCAAATCAGTTACAGCTTCTTGGCGAATGTTAAGTCAACTAATTATCATTCCTATAATCCTATTCTTCTCCTATATAGAACAGTCATATGTTGTCATATAGTATTTTTTTTATAATTCCTTGGAATACCATGTGATTGTTTAAATCTGTGTAATATATATTATGGTATTACCATTGGTTACTGCTAGATTTTTAAAACATATTTTAAAGGAACAATGACTTTAACAATGAATTGATATGCTTAACAATGCTTTACTTGAGAAGTGTAGCTCTTTAGCAGTTCTGAGAAAATACAACTCTCGTCTTCTCTCATGCTGGGCAGAGCTCTGGTGACATTAACATTCTGATGCCTTAACATCTCTGATAAATGTTCCAACTGCTGCATGTCTCTCTCTCTCTCTCTCACACTCTCACACACACACGCGCACACAAGCAAACGGTCACTTGTATACGATGCATCGGCAGAACAATCCTCCTTCACCCTCATTCATGCTCACACAGACATTGAATTTCCGTGCCTGTGACAAGAAGTTTTTTGCCGCCTTTCTGAGGAGAGCTCACTTCTCCTGCCTCCTGCAGGGAACACCAGCCTATTTATAGATCAAGGGTTAGCAGGGTGGAGAGAGAGAGAGAGCGAACAGAGAGAGCAAGAGATGAGGAGAAAAGAGAGAAGGCTGAGAAAATGCTGCAATTATGAAGCAAGTGTTGCACCGAGCCCTTGTGTGTGATGGAGAATGTGACGGTGAATGGCAGCACTTTATCATTTATTTACACAACACGGGTCATTCTCTTCCCTCGTCACAGATTTTTACATGTTTTGAGCTAGACCCTTTTATATCACAATGCTGTTTAAATTACTATTATTTGCAACCTTCCTAATTCGGTAATGTGCATATTTCTAGGTAAAGCATGATATTCAATGGATTACTTTTTAGAATTGGACTTGATCATAAATAGTCGTTTCTATACGGCTGGTGGTTGAAAAATAAGAACTTGGTGACCCTAAAAAGTCATTTTAGAGGTAGAGCAAGTTTATTAAAGATAAAGATATTTTTCTTTGGCATAACGTGCACAGTAGTTTTAATGGGGTTTCAATGTTGACTTGAACACAGTGCAATCTGTAGTCCTCTAGTCTGGACTTGATCTTGACCATATTTCCATGGTCTTGGTCTTGTCATGGACCCTTGAGCCTTTGGAGCATTCGGTCTTGACTTGTTTTGTCGTCTCTCTGTGCCGACTCCACTGTGGAATTGTGTGACCAGAGCACACTCTGTGTGCAATGCGGAGGTTTGCGTGACTCTGACGTGAAACTTAGGCTCAATGGAAAGCGTATTTACACTGTCTGAATTATTCAGACTCATACTCTACTCTTTCCTGGTCTTGGTCTTGACTCGGACTCAACCTACTCAGGAATCGGCCTGGTCTCTGACTCTAATGAGCTGGTCTTGACTAAAACACTTATGTAGTCTTTACTTTTGTATTGGTTTTTCTTTCCTGAAGTACAATAATAACATTGGTCAAGATATCTTTCACCACAAACAGTGATCGTTTAGTTTTTCATTATCTTTTTCAACACTTTCTCGCTCAAGTTCTCACTTTTGTTCATCAAGGTTTGTCACGTTACTGAATTCTAAATTGGCATTGATATGTAAGCATGGTTGGTCAAATGCAAATAAGCTTACAGTTTAGGTGTCAATACCATGACAATTTCTGAATGTCAGATTTTTTGCAGAAGTGTTTCAGTAAGTGGTTCATGTTGAGAATATGTGTACATAGTTCAGAAAGAACAGGGACGAGCAAGACAAATCCTGTTTTCTATAATACATACCCTTTGTTGTAATTGTAACTACTAGGAGCTTTTTGCGGGTGCTTGAGGATGTGTGCTGAGCTGATGTTATCAGCGGTGCTGATTCTGCTCACCATCATACAGGTTGTAAAATCACAAAGGAAGTTGACAACGCAGAGGAGGACAGTAATGCTAATACTGTCTGGTGTGTAACAGCGTGGCCTCCATTACATAGAATACATGAAGGACTGAGAGTATGATTCTCCATGTTTGTAGTTGCGTGCTTTTTTTGAGTAATGTGTTTTGACATAATTCATATTCTCTCAAACCTCAGGACTAATGTGACGTTTAAGGAATCAGACATTTGTGGTCTGCAAAAGGGCATTATATTATTCCCATGCAATAATGTGCTTTCCCCTCCCCTCTTTTCTCTTCCCTTTTCCTATGTCTCATGTCCTTCCTCCATCTCTCTCCTGTCTACAGTGAGTGACAGCTGCTTCAGAAACCTTGCTGAGGACCGCAGTGGAATCAACCTCAAAGATCTTGTCCATGACCCATCCTTGTAAGTGATTCACACACAAACACATTGGCTTTGTACAATACTACTGCCCATGCATCAAGTCTCGTTCATCGTAGGAAATTTCTGAACATGTTTCCCATTCCTTGTCTTTCTGTGCTGAATGGATGGATGTCCTTCTTAAAGATAAAGGCCTTGTCCCAAATTCTGCACTTGATGTATTTGCGGTCTTATGGACATGTGATTGCTGTCACTTGAGCATGTTTGTGATGTCCACGAGACAATACTGTAACCCTCGTCACAGCCTTCATGTGCCCTTGAATGCTGCCTTATGCTGAGCCCACACTGATGTGGACTACTACCCAATGGTCCAGACCAATGTGTGGAATTGGAGGAAAACTGCAAGTATTTGTGATGTCCACGATACCATAGAAGAATTGTTCTTCAATAGAATTTCTTTTTTGATAATAAAATGTATTTAAATGGCCGACATAGTTTAAAAGAATTAGGGTCTTGAGACCTGAGGCTACTAATACCGCACTTGTCGAAGTTTTGGACCCGAACCTGCTTGGTTCGGACCTCGGATTTTCGAATTCAAGTGAACCTGTGAAGACCTCTACTTTACAGTCCCTTTGTGCCCTTGGATGTGGCCTTATGTCGAGCCCACACTGATAGTGACTACTTTAGACTTACAGTAGAAGACTGCGAGTGTTTACAGTAGGTCAGCATTTGTTGCAAGGCCCAAGAATCCATCCCTGACAAAGGAGGACAGCAGCTGCAATTTCTTATTTAGCCTGTCTGCGTTACCTTTCATGCATTGTTGCAAACTTCATTGATTCTGTAAATTGACCGAAAACCAAAGCTTCTATACATGCAAAGCTTCTAGACAATTTCTAGGAATTGAGGTGCACAGACTTTTATCAGTTTTCCGAGATGGTTCTCACTGCGGAACATGAAATCCACGGGGAGGAGTCGGATCCAGATCCAACTCCTCGCACCTTACATATACCTAAACCTACCCAACTCCGCCCCCTGATCCCTAAACCCAACCCTAATCCTACCCATCTCCACCCCTTGGATCTTGATCCGACTCCTCCCCGTGGATCTCATGTGCTGCATTGAGGTGCTACTGAGTTTTCCAGGAAGCAAGATTTTCTTGACAAGGTATCAAGCTTATATAATAAATGCTTCTGAGTAACAGCTTATTGCTGGGTTTGCCTATGTTAGTTTTATGGCATCAGATCTTTGAAAGATATTTAAGATTTTTGTTTGAGACTAGCAAGTAAGTAAGATTCTAGAGCATCCTTAACCGGTTTGTAAAAAAGCAACTCTATTTGACCCTTGTCTGAATGAAACCGAACGCAGTGGTCTCTAAATAAGCAATAACTTGTCCTTTCTAAATGGCCAAGGAAGGACGTTTTTGGATACAATATGCTTCAATGTGGACCAGACTTTGTCGGTGGTCAAAAATCTGGGTCCATAAGATTAACTTTTTATAAATAGGACTTCTTTTATTTCATGTAATTTGTGTAGACCGTAAGCAGTTAGTGAAAGTGTCTGTTACAGTGTCGATAACATCAAAGGTGTATCTACTTTTGACTGTGCATATGAGATGCTAAAGTAGCACATTTACTTTCTTTAGTCATGCGTCAAAGGTCATGAAAAAATGACCACATGCAGGATTGAAGTTCTGGAGACTGTATTCGTGAGTGCTTAGAGTATGTCTGCATGCACTCTTGCAAATAGGTGTAGTGAGGACTCTTCACTTAATTCGACCTCTCGAATGTCAGCTACTTCTTGTATACTTCAACGTAGACCTCTCGAGCTTTGAGAAACCTTCTCGTTCTTTAACAGACTTTCAACAAGTAGAGGAGATCATTGTCCTTCCACCTCTGTAGACATGCTGCCTCCTCTAGGCATAATTCAAAGGTTGGAAGGCCGCAAGGCAACCTGTCTAAAAAGATGCATCTGTTGATTTCTGGAGTGCCTTTGAAAGAGTTTCCTTGGGAAGTACTTTATTTTAGAAAACACTAACTGTTATGTCATTAAAAGAAGTGTACAATGGCCCATTTTAATAATTGAATATATCTCTGGGTATTGGCACTGTTATGGGTAAAGAGGATTGAGCAGTAGGGTCATCATAGATGGATCAGAAATTAAAGGAACTCCAATTGAACTCCAAGACTACATTGTACCAGAACCTGCAATGCCTGTCCACCTATGTTTCTACTTTAGCATCAAAAACCAAAGCTTTGTAGCGAGCCAATCTTTGTACCCCGACAAGGTCAGTGGAGCGACAGAGACAGCGGGATGTAAGGTCTCTGAAAGGTGTCAGAGAGGAAGAGAAGCATGGGGTGCCGCCAGAAGGTAGAGATACTTCAGTTCAGAGAGTATTGATGGATAATGAATGTGTGTGTTGTCTGTTGACTGGTGAGCTCCATCTCCAGTGCTCTGTCAGCTCAGGTGAATTGATTCATTGAAAGAGCTGTCAGTTTTACTAACGAGCTGTGGTAAAAATAGAGCTGAATTAATCATAGCGGGGGACACGCGTGGCTCATCGTCCTCTGGGTAGAGATGATTCTGACGTCTTCACCTACAGAGAGGTGAACATGCAGACGTTTGAGAGAGGGACTGCTGAGCGCTCACCTGAGAAACAGAAATAGACGTGTCTTCACCTGGGAGCAGAAAAGTGTCATCAAGGTTATAGTTCCTTCTGAAAGCGACTTTTATTTGCAACGGGCCTGCAAACACTTATTTATTAACTCGCCATAGTGTTTTTTGTTAAAGTAATGACAGTAGAGAGGAGACTGGAAATTGGGAGGGATGGGACCATATTTGAACCTGCAAAAGCACCTATGTATTATAGTGTCTGCCTGTTCTTTATTTTCGGTGGGTGCAAGTAGGACATCAAATTCACTACTTGACGTACGGTTTCCAAATGAGGTAAACTGCGCAAACTAGTCTAGAATATATTTGCTTAACACAAGTTGCAGAATTCTTAGTGCTCCATTGTAAAGGCTACTTCACTGGGTCTCATGAACATGACATCTGCCTGAGTCCTGTCGGATTGCTTTCCATCAGCTGTGGAGGTGAAGATGACAACTCCCATGATTCCACGCTCATTCAAGCTATGTCTTTATTGTTTTAAATAAGCAACCACATATAGGGCTGTCGCGATAACTGCAATATTGCAGTACCGCGCTTCTGACAAGTAAACCGCAGAGGATTGCACGTAACCGCAGCAACCGCGATATTCACGTTTTTTTATAAGGCTTGTTTTGAACTTCATGCATTTGTATTGAATGTTAAACAAGTTCATAATGATAACAACAAGACTGTTTATCTTGGTGATGTGTAGCCTACAGAGGCTTCACACAGTGAATGAGAGAGATCTGCAGAGCGCTTGCGATTACCTGCGTCTGTCTTTGAAGTCGTGAAAAGGTTGCCGTGTCAAAGGAAAGCGAAATATTTGTCGTATCATCATTTTAAGCTTCACATCACGGGTATTTTCCACAAATGCGCGTCAGCAGCAGCGCTGGTCAGCATCCCACAGCGCGAGGAAGCCGCAGAAAATAATATCACAGAGTCACGCAGTGAATCAATGCCTCTAATAAGTGAAGCATCAGCTTCCACGTTACCCATGCGACGCATTGCTGATCAGCTGAGCCTTGAAAAGTGGAACTCAAAGTTAAAAATAATTAACATCTTGTTTCATTACATCTCTTTTAACGAATCAGCTTCTTTGAACGTGTTCGTTGAATGAACGGTTCAAAGTCCGTTGTCATAACAATATGCGCGCTGAGTGAAAGCCTTTCAATCATGTTTTCAGTGTGCATAATAGACGCTGTTTAGTTTCGGTTATTGGTTAAATAACCTCGTTTTTGTCCACATTGTAAACTTTATTTATATAGCAACAAATACTTATAAATTAAATAAATAAATAAATAAATGGCGGTAATACCGCATATCGCGCTATTGAGCCACTCAACATTACCGCAAGGGAAATTCCATAACCGCGACAGCCCTAACCACATACTGTGCCTTTAATTCCAGATGATAATTGAATAACGTGGTGTTTTATGCACTGAAATACTGTCTAAAAGAGGTTCAACTGCTTAGTAAATTCATCCCTATATATTCCAAATCCTTGTCTCCTTAGTTGAGCATGGGTGGCTATTCGTGGCATCCATGCACTGCACCACAGAGATTTTAAAGTTGAAAATAGTGTGTGATGGCTTTATTCAGGGTTCATTCAGGTTGAAACCTCAACTAAATCAGCACACAAAGACACGTGTTAATACACTTGGTTGGGTTTGACAGGCTATACTGCCCAACCCGCGTTCACATTCATTAATAAAGGCACAATCAAAGAGTTTCGTCCAGATTCAGAAGACGCTTCAGTTAAATTCGGCATTCTTCGCCTTCCTTTGTTCGCGTATGTGCATGTGTGTACTCACTTACACAAACAAAATACCCAGGTTGAAATCCCAAACTCATCTCCGTCTTAAAGCACCTCTTTCCAAACCCCCAATCTTCACACACCAGCGGTTTCCCTGGCAACCGGATTAAAGAGCTCTGCATCTTTGTGTTCAGCATATTCTTCTTTTAGTCTCTGCTCTCTCTGTCTCTCTTTCCTCTCCCTCTTTCTTTTTCTCCATTTCTTCCTCTTTTAGGGGCATTACACCATAGTAGTTAGATGGACTGATAGAGGTACTTCAAGAGAAAATGTAGATGCAAAACAACAACGTTAGAGAGCCCCAAATATACAAATAAGCTCCAGAAAACCAGTCCTGAGCCAAACTGAAAAGGGAGATTTTGGCAAAATCTTTTCAGTTTGTCCTGGTTTTAGCCTCTTTAGTTGGACACAAAGTTGGATCCAGACATGTCAAGACGTGGTGCTCAAGCAGACGTTACAAGTTTGAGTCCGACTTGCATCATCTCCCGATCCCATTGACCCTGTTTCCTTGATAGCGTCCTGTTTATTATTTAAAGAACTTTAAACTGTTTAATTGGTCATTGTATCCGGCAACTGATTTCCACTTTAGCTGTGATAGTTTGCGTCTTGTATCACCTTTCTTCTCGCCTAATAACATAATTTAAACTTAAATGGACATGAAATATTAATTTGTTTTTGTTTTGCATATAATCATGCACTAAGCTGGATAATGTACAAGTTTGTCGAAATCAAAAATGGTAAGTGTGCTGTTATCTGTCTCTGTATTGCAAGCCGCAGTACTATGAGCAGCCACTAGTGTGTGCTGCACTTCAGTATTTGAACATGGTTTGCTCAAAAGTTTTGAGTGCAAATTTACATTTATATAGGAGGCTTGTACTTGAAACCTAGCTATTGTGGTAATCCACCTGTTTTGTGGCCTAAAACAGCGCTGTCAAAATGTGATCCTTCGTGAGACGTTACCCCTGTGAATGCAGAAGTGAATAAAACAGCAAGAGCCCTGTGAAAGAAAGAAATTTCTTCTTTAACTGTCATTCCGGTTGTGGGTGGAGTGTGTGGGGATGTATTTTGACAGCTTTCTGGTACCTCTGGCATTGTGTTGCTCTTTCTTTTTCCTGCACTCTGTCACATTGTGTTTTTTCCCCTCACTCGCTCCCCGTTTCTCCCCTGCTGTTGGGACTGAACACACACTAACGGTTGTTGTCGTTTGTGTGTTTCACCCACAGGCTCGGAGGCATAATCTCTGCATACAAAATAGTCCCTGATGAGATTGACGAGATCAAGGTAATGCTTCCTCTCACCCCTTCATTGAGGCCATGAGGCAAACATGCACATCCATACACACCTTTGCACACTATTGCCCCCTAGAGGCCAGTATTAGTACTGCACTCTTATCCATAACATCTGAGCTCAGATATGGAAAAATGTATTTGGACACTCAAGCCACATTTTAAAGTATAAATATTGCATTACTAAACAAGTATTAAATCCACTTTAAGCAAAACATTTCATCAAGGAATTTTTGTGAAGTTTTAAATGATAAAACAATGTGGTGGACTTCACATGTGGCTACTGTGATAGACATCACCATGGAGGACTAGTTGGTTAAAAGTCTATTGCTCCGATGATGCAATGGCTTAAATGTTCAAATACAGAGTCACTGTATGTGATATTTTTTTGCTGGCAACAGCAGAATAAAAATGGATGTTTTATTTATCAGGCCAGACTATATGCCCAAAATAATAGTTTGAGGGATACAAATATATCTTTCTGCACTATATAGAATTATTGCTGAATGTTTTGTGTTGATATTCTGTGTGTGCGTGTGTGCGTGCTTTAAAGGAGACACTGGTGGACTGGTGCGATGAGAAGGAGCTCAACTTGATTCTGACCACCGGTGGAACGGGTTTTGCACCCCGTGATGTCACGCCTGAGGTACATGGGAGCCCACCTGTTTGTGTTTGTGTCCATGTGAGTGTGTGTTTTTGTCCCCACCCCCATGCGTCCTTGTTTTCTGAGTCTGAATGAGAATGAGAGAAATTGTGACTTCTGTATATTTGAGCATTGTGTATTTTTGTGCACAATTTATTTTCACATTCACATGCATGCTGTTTGGTTGATGCATTCTTATGAAAAACAGTTCTTGTGATAGGCTTATTTTTAATGACTTTTTAACAGCTTTACTAGTCTTTTTAGAAGTGGCATAAATGCGATCTTATCATTTCATATATTATTGACAATTATAATCACTGCCATTCAACATTTTGGGGTCTGTAAGTTTAAAAAAAGAAAGAAGAGATTAATACTTTTATTCAGCAAGGGCACATTAATTTAATCAAAAGTTGCAGTAAAGAGATGATACAAAAGATATATTTGTGATAAATGCTGTTTTTAATGTTCTATTCATCCAATAATCCATAAAGTTTCAATATTTCCACAAAATATTAAGCAGCACAACTTTTTTTCAACATTGATGATAAGAAATGTTTTTTGAGCACCAAATCAGCATTTGAGAATGCTTTCTGAAGGATCATGTAAAGAATGTAGTAATAGCTGTAAATACAGATTTTTTTCAGAATAATACAGTTTTAATAAAACAAATAAGTCTTGGTGAGCTTAAGTGACTTTATTCAAAAAAATCTTACCAACACCAATTATATATACATAAGAGTAATTTGTTTGGCATATGAAACACTGTGGTTGCAGTATTTTTGATTTACTAAAGTGAAGTGACTCATAAAAGTTAGTTGATCCATAAGAAGAAAATATGCGTGTGTAGTGTACAGTACCTGCAGATCTCCACACAAAAGTGCTGTAATTGATGTGTACGAGTGAAACAGTGCATATCCATATGGGAGTCTGTCTGGTGGGGATTGTGCCTGGTGGAACGATGCTGTGTATATTTTTTTTTTTTTGATGTACCCTGCACTCCTTATCCTTTTTACTAATGTGAGTGTTTGAAGTGTCATTCAATTCCAAGGGCACAGTGCGTCACGTCGGAGAGAAATTATCTCCTTCCTTTAGCCTGAGATCCCTTTCGTTTTCTTGCTGTGCACTTTTCTTCTGACTTTGCTTGTGTTCTTGAATGTGTTTGTTTGAGTAGACTGGGGTGTGTGTGTGTTCCACCGGGATGGGACAGTGGAGATGGAGGGATATGTGTTCCTTGGGTGGCTGAGAAGGGTTCAGTGATTTCAGATGGAAGAGTAGAGACATCAAAGGCCCACTGGAATTGTGTTCGTAGTGAAGATTCTCAACAACAGGGCTGCGCTGTGAAGAACAATTGGCTCTAAATGATGAATTTGCTTAGCCTTTTAGCATGTATGAGCTCAAACTAGAAAAATGTACATGTACTGATCAAAATTGGTGGCACTTATAGTACACAGACAAAACATTACAGTCACGACATGATGATGTTTGACCCGAAGGCCACTATCCAACACAATATTTGTGTATATAACATAAGGGTGTCCGAAATCGACCAAAATTAATTCACAATCTCGAACTTCGAATTAAAAAAAATGAAATCGTCGAAGCCATAATGCCCCCATGTCACGTCCGTTCGGCGGGCCAAGTGGAAAAAACACGCGTGTTGTCAACCTCGTCTAACTTAGCTACAGCCATTCAAAAGATATGTTTATTTTACTTTATTTTCTTTTAAACCACTAGATGGCACAAAAATTCAGCGTAACACTTTTCTTAAAGGAATAGTTCAGCTAAAAATGAAAATTCTTTTGGTTACTTATGCCGAGTTCAGACTGCATGATTTTAGCCACGATTTTGGCTCACCGACAGGTTTTGAGAAATCGCCGACAAATGCCCGAAATCACAGGCAAATCGGCGCTCGTTCACGCGAGTGACAATCACGCAGTGTGAATGAACAAAGACGCGAACTGAGAGAATCACCGACGAGTCGCCGACGCCCGTGAGATATTTGGCATGCTAAATATCTGGACCTGTCGGCGATTCAAAATCCTGCTGTGTGAAAAGTGTTTTGACTGAAAACTACATCGGCGATCACCGGCAGCCAGTGAGAGAGCAAGATACAGAGCAGCAGGGAGTTCGGGGAGGAGTTATAGATCACATATCAACATGATATGGCATTGTTTCAACAAAAAAAGCTTCTTCTCGGTCTATTTGGACACAATAAATGGAAGAAAAATTAGTAGAAATTTGGCAGGAGCACTCGTGTCTGTTTCACCAGCTGTACCACAACCGGGTCGAAAAAAAAAGTCTCACGTGAGAACTCCGGTCTTGCACGTGTGGTGTCGCGCGTTGTTTCCTTTTCATATCTCACGCGTGTTTGTTGTGAAATGTAGTTTGCGTGCAGCGTGCTAGACAGAGTCCGTCGGCGATTTTTCTAAAGTCATGCAGTGTGAAACCTTCTGTCGCCGATCCATCGTCCAGTGTGAACACAGCAGCGACTGAATGCTGGCCAAGATAGTCATGCAGTGTGAAAAGAGCAGCGACCTGACTACTTTGAAAATCGTGCAGTCTGAAAGAGCCATTAGTGACAATTGTGCATCGTTTAAATGCCACAGCCTACCTGAGCATTGTTTCTGACCATGTCCATCCCTTTACGGCCACCATGTCCCCATCCTCTGATGGCTACTTCCAGCAGGATAATGCACCATGTCACAAAGCTTGAATCATTTCAAACTGGTTTCTTGAACATGACAATGAGTTCACTGTACTAAAATTGCCCCCGCAGTCACCAGATCTCAACCCAATAGAGCATCTTTGGGATGTGGTGGAACGGGAGCTTTGTGCCCTGTATGTGCCTCCCCCAAATCTCCATCAACTGCAAGATGCTATCAATATGGGCCAACATTTCTAAAGAATGCTGTTAGCACCTTGTTGAATCAATGCCACATAGAATTAAGGCAGTTCTGAAGGCAAAAGGGGGTCATACAAACACAGTATGGTGTTCCTAATGATCCTTTAGGTATATATTGGGGTGCACACTGCAAAATGACTTGTTTTTGTGAGATTCATATTTCATACTGAATACTGTATATAGAATATATAGCTTTTTAAACTGTATAAGTATCACACTTAGTGCTGGATCTGTGGGTCACAAACTTTGGTGAGGGTCATGCAGATGGGGAAGGCAAAATCTACCATCAACCTTCATCTGTGTTGCCTTGATAAAAAGAGGGAGAGCAATGCCTGCCTTTCCCTCTCTCTCTCTCTTTCGTCTCAGTACAGAGAGAGGCACGGAAGCAGCAAGGAAAGAGGAATGGACAGGCAAGACCAGATCTGGAAGAATACCTTTGCAATAGCAGATCTGAAAGTTTGAACTCCAACTGAATACCAATGAGGATGGCCTGTGTTAAGGCAGGCACAGTTAGAGAAACTCTCACACACTTCACCCCAGGGTCCTGATCACCATGTTGGGGTTTAGTTTTCAATAACAAGTGATTATTACACAGCCGCAAATAAATGGACATGAAATATTGATTGGATTTTAAATGAGTTTATTAAGTGAGAAGAAAGAGTGTGCAGAGTGATACGAGAGACTTGAAACTAGAACCGCTGTGTTGGAAATAATTTTCCTGGACGATGCTCAATTATACTAGCCTGGTTAATGTCAGACCATGTATCATTGAGAATGAAACGCGGTCTGGATACCACATGTTCATTTTCTTGTATTTGAGGCGTGGTTTACGAATGCCCGGAGCCGTATTATTGGGTGCTATGAATGTCTATCAAATGCACCTGTACGTAGCTTATAGCCAATCGGGTCAATGATGGCAGATGACGTATGTAGAGTGACGATGGGTCAGAGATTTAGGAGATTTAAAATAAAACTTAAAATAATAGCCGAGTCCCAAATAGACGCCTGTCTCTTTTACACTCCTGTGACTGCAGGTTTGGGTAAAGTTGCAGTTCGACGATTTGGGTAAATAAAAGCCTGGGCTATTATTTGAAGTTTTACGGTTTGTATACACAAAGGCTGTATCAAAAGGTAACTTCACGTCCACTGCCAAGATGGATCCATAGATATAAACAACTGCTTCGGTGTGACGCATAGACGTCGTCATCGTCTTGCCGCTCCCTCCCCATTCTGTGATTGGTTCCCTATCTCAGGGGAAAATTTGAATTAGGATGTCCAGGCTGCCTAGCAGCGTGAATAAAATCGCGCTGCGGCAAGGCAGCATGAGGAAACCCAGGCTATACAATTATACAGTTTAACATGCAAAAATATTTTGGAAAGAAAATGATTTTTAATAAATATTCAGGTCCAAAATATCTGTATGTGGCTCTGAGCATCTTATTTGGTAATCAATTACTTTTATTTATGTCTTATACTGTACGTCTTACTTTTAACTGCGCTTACAGGTTTTGGTAAGATTCTCTCTCAGCCAGACATGTTTCACGAGTTCACACTTACATATAATTTTGAGTGAGTAAGATTCAATGCGTATTTGGCGTGCTGTCCGGAGGGAGGGCTCCGTGCTCGGAATTCTGCCCGAACCCAGAGTACTCCCCCAAAAGGCTAAAGAGCAGAGGACAGCCGCCGGACTAAAGACCCCCAAAGAGTGCCAAGAAATGGCGGGCTGGCATCTCGAGAAGGGGCCTGGATGCTTGGTCAGGGAGGCCCGTGATGTTGGCTCACTGCCTGGACTGATGGCCCTTGTTGACTGCGAACAAGGTGTGGTTGTTGTATACTTGTCCAGGAGGTTTTCGCGCTGCATCCACTGTAAGACCAAATATTCGCTGAAATGAAAGAGAAAACATGAGTGCTCTACCTGGAACTTTCTCGCTCCGTCCGATGTGAGACCAATGCTCGCTGGACGGAAAGAGGAAACCTGAAAAGAGGAAAATGAGTGCTTATCCAGGAGATTTTCTCGTACTCTCGTCCACGGTGAGACCGAATGCTCACCGGATGAAAGAGAGAAAATTTAAGTGCTCTACTGGGAAAGCTCTCACTCCGTCCGCTGTGAGACCAATGCTCGCTGGACGGAAAGAGGAAACCTGACAAGAGGGGAAAATGAGTGTTTGCCCAGGAGATTTCTCGTATTCCATCCGCTGTGAGACCAGCTGCTCGCTGGATGAAAGAGAAAATTTTAAGTGCTCTACTGGGAAAGCTCTCACTCCGTCCGCTGTGAGACTAATGCTCGCTGGACGGAAAGAGGAAACCTGACAAGAGGGGAAAATGAGTGTTTGCCCAGGAAATTTTCTCATGTCCGTCCGCTGTGAGACCAACTGCTCGCTGGATGAAAGAGAAAATTTTAAGTGCTCTACTGGGAAAGCTCTCACTCCATCCGCTGTGAGACCGATGCTCGCTGGATGGAAGAAGGAAAACTGAAAAGTGGAAAAATTGAGTGCTTGCCCAGGAGATTTTTCTCACACTGCATCCGCTGTGAGACCAACTGCTCGCTGGATGAAGGAGAAAAATGTAAGGGCTCCTCTGGGAAAGCACTCACTCTGCTCATAAAGTGATGGCGGTTTTTTGAGTGTCTAAGAAAAACGAAAAAGGGTAATTTAAACGTGGCATTGAGTGTGTGAGTGGAACTGAAGGGCTGGTAGCTTATGCGGAAAGCCGAATACATTTAATGAGAATTTCCAGTGTTATGGGGTGTCCGGAGTCGGGGGCGGGTGGGCTGGGATCTTTGGATCCCTTTAATCAGGGTTTGTGAATTGTTTAACTCCACAGAAGTAGTGCCGTACGACAGTTTATGGGAAAAACTGGATTGCCGCTCAAATAACCTTTAATAGGAGATAAAAGATTTGATTGGAAAGAGAAAAATCGGGGGAAGGCAAGTTATAAGAGACGTTATATTTATCGTTTCCTTTCTTTATGTTACCTCCAAGCGGTAATATAGGATTGAAGGGTCCTGGGAGATACCGCTTGGAGGATAAATTTTGATGCGTGCGACGTTAGCTTGGAGACCAAGCTTGCTGGACAGAGGAAATAATCAATTAAGGGTTTTAGCAGGAATAATAATTCTAAATGGTGATGTACTGGAGAGAAAACATCATTGTTATAGCAGTGTAGAAAATAAGCCAGAGGAACAGAGCTCCTGCGGGAGCAGAGAAGAGGTCACTGCTTGAGCAGTGTAGAAAATTATCCAGAGAAACAGAGCATCTGTGGGAGCAGAGGAGACGTCACTGCTGTGGCGGTGTAGTAAATTAGCCAGAGAAACGGAGCTCCTGTGGGAGCAGAGTAGACATCATTGCTGTGACGGTGAAGAAAATTAGCCAGAGAAAAGAGTTTCAGATGGAGCAGAGGAGACGACACTGCTGTGGCAGTGTAGAAAGTTAGCCAGAGAAACAGGGCTCCAGTGGGAGCAGAGGGGACGTCACTGTTATAGCAGTGTAGAAAATAAGCCAGGGTAAGAGAGCTCCAGTGGGAGCAGAGTAGACATCACTGCTGGGGCCGAGTAAAAATTAGTCAGAGAAAGAGAGCTCCAGTGGGAGCAGAGTAGACATCACTGCTGTGTCAGTGTAGAAAAAATAGCCAGAGAAACAGAGCTCATATGAGAATTATTCAGAGAAACAGAGCTCCTGTAGGAGCAGATGAGACATCACTGCTGGGGCAGAGTAGAAAAATTAGCCAGAGAAACAGAGCTCCTGTGGGAGCAGATGAGACATCACTGCTGGGGCAGAGTAGAAAAATTAGCCAGAGAAACAGAGCTCCTGTGGGAGCAGATGAGACATCACTGCTGGGGCAGAGTAGAAAAATTAGCCAGAGAAACAGAGCTTCAGTGGGAGCAGATGAGACGTCACTGCTGGGGTAGAGTAGAAAAATTAGCCGAAAGAAACGCGGCTCCTGTGGGAGCAGAGTAGACATCACTGCTGGGGCAGAGTAGAAAAGATTAGCCAGAGAAACAGAGCTCCTGTGGGAGCAGATGAGACATCACTGCTGGGGCAGAGTAGAAAATTAGCCGAAAAAACACGGCTCTTGTGGGAGCAGATGAGACATCACTGCTGGGGCAGAGTATAAAAGATTGGCCAGAGAAACGGAGCTCCTGTGGGAGCAGAGTAGACATCACTGCTGGGGCAGAGTAGAAAAGATTAGCCAGAGAAACAGAGCTCTGTGGGAGCAGATGAGACATCACTGCTGGGGCAGAGTAGAAAATTAGCCGAAAGAAACACGGCTCTTGTGGGAGCAGATGAGACATCACTGCTGGGGCAGAGTATAAAAGATTGGCCAGAGAAACAGAGCTCCTGTGGGGCAGAGGAGACATCACTGCTGGGGCGGTGGAGAAAATTAGCCAGAGAAACAGAGCTCCAGTGGGAGCAGAGGAGACGTCACTGCTGGGGCAGTATAGAAAATTAGCCGGAGAAACAGAGCTTCAGTGGGAGCAGATGAGACATCACTGCTGGGGCAGAGTAGAAAAATTAGCCGAAAGAAACACGGCTCCTGTGGGAGCAGAGTAGACATCACTGCTGGGGCAGAGTAGAAAAGATTAGCCAGAGAAACGGAGCTCCTGTGGGAGCAGAGTAGACATCACTGCTGGGGCAGAGTAGAAAAATTAGTCAGAGAAACAGAGCTCCTGTGGGAGCAGAGTAGACATCACTGCTGGGGCAGAGTAGAAAAATTAGTCAGAGAAACGGAGCTCCTGTGGGAGCAGATGAGACATCACTGCTGGGGCAAAGTAGAAAAATTAGTCAGAGAAACAGAGCTCCTGTGGGAGCAGATGAGAAATCACTGTTGGGGCAAAGTAGAAAAATTAGTCAGAGAAACAGAGCTTCTGTGGGAGCAGATGAGACATCACTGTTGGGGCAAAGTAGAAAAATTAGTCAGAGAAACAGAGCTCCTGTGGGAGCAGAGGAGACCACTGCTGGGGCAGAGTAGAAAAATTAGTCAGAGAAACGGAGCTCCTTGGGAGCAGAGGAGACGTCACTGCTGGGCGGTGGAAAAACGTACCTGTGCAAATGAGCTGTGGTGTGAAGCCGAGCAAAAGCGGGAAGTAGATTGGGGCCTGGCTGGCCGATTATCATCTTCTTGAGCGCAAACAAAGATGCGAAAAAGAGGGGAGATTTAATCTTTGCAGGATTATGCACATCTTTATTAACGTTTCAAAATGGCTTAGGGAACTTTCACCCTGGCAGTTAAGTCCGTAACGGGGAATGGTTCGCATGAAAAATCGCTAATGTGAACGCCATTATGGGAACCGGGTGCGCACTGGGGTACCGGACCCGAGACTACCTGGAGGAGGTGGTGGTAGTACTGACTACCCAGCACGGACTCGGGTGTGCCCTTGTTCAGGAAATAAGGTATCCTGTGCATGCGTTTTAGCTTATTGTGATGTATTCAGTTAAATAAGTAAGGGGTGATAGTGTTGAGGA